AACAAGACAGTAGTTACCTACAACAAGACAGTAGTTACCTACAACAAGACAGTAGTTACCTACAACAAGACAGTAGTTACCTACAACAAGACAGTAGTTACCTACAACAAGACAGTAGTTACTCACAACAAGACAGTAGTTACCCACAACAAGACAGTAGTTACTCATAAGACAGTAGTTACCTACAACAAGACAGTAGTTACCTACAACAAGACAGTAGTTACCTACAACAAGACAGTAGTTACCTACAACAAGACAGTAGTTACCTACAACAAGACAGTAGTTACCTACAACAAGACAGTAGTTACTCATAACAAGACAGTAGTTGCCCACAACAATACAGTAGTTACCTACAACAAGGCAGTAGTTACTCACAATAAGACAGTAGTTACCCACAACACGACAGTAGTTACTCATAAGACAGTAGTTACTCATAAGACAGTAGTACTCACAACAAGACAGTAGTTACCCACAACAAGACAGTAGTTACCCATAACAAGACAGTAGTTACCCACAACAAGACAGTAGTTACCCACAACAAGACAGTAGTTACCCACAACAAGACAGTAGTTACCCATAACTAGACAGTAGTTGTCCACAACAAGACAGTAGTTACCCACAACAAGACAGTAGTTACCCACAACAAGACAGTAGTTACCCACAACAAGACAGTAGTTACCCGCAACAAGACAGTAGTTACCCATAACTAGACAGTAGTTGTCCACAACAAGACAGTAGTTACCACAACAAGACAGTAGTTACCCATAAAAAGACAGTAGTTACCCATAACTAGACAGTAGTTGTCCACAACAAGACAGTAGTTACCCACAACAAGACAGTAGTTACCCACAACAAGACAGTAGTTACCCATAACAAGACAGTAGTTACCCATAACAAGACAGTAGTTACCCATAACAAGACAGTAGTTACCCATAACAAGACAGTAGTTACCCATAACAAGACAGTAGTTACCCATAACTAGACAGTAGTTGTCCACAACAAGATAGTAGTTACCCACAACAAGACAGTACTCATAAGACAGTAGTTACTCACAACAAGACAGTAACTGCCTTGATGTGGATAACTAAAGCTGGTAACGTTGTAACAGAGGTAACATTGTTACGAGGCTTAGTAACGCCTTACGTGGAGTCAAATGACTCTGCGTTATTAGCAATCGTATTAATTGGTGGCTCAGATTATTAAAAGAGTTAATTAGTGTTGCTAAGTGCGTATTTAAAGGTTAGGTTACAGTGTGTGTACCAACCAATATACTGTGTGTTACCCTCTCTCTTATATATATATATATATATATATATATATATATATATATATATATATATATAATATATATATATATATATTATATATATATATATATATATATATATATATGTATATATATACACACACAGTGTGTGTGTCAGCCTATACAGTGTCACCAAACACACATTATGTCACTCTATATACACAGTGTCACCCTACACACATTGTGTCACCCTACACACATTGTGTCACCCTACACACATTGTGTCACCCTACATACGCAGTGTCACCCTATACACATTATGTCACTCTACATACACAGTGTCACCCTACACACATTGTGTCGCCCTACACACATTGTGTCACCCTACATACGCAGTGTCACCCTATACACATTATGTCACTCTACATACACAGTGTCACCCTACACACATTGTGTCGCCCTACACACATTGTGTCACCCTACACACATTGTGTCGCCCTACACACATTGTGTCACCCTACACACATTGTGTTACCCTACACACATTGTGTTAACCTACACACATTGTGTTAACCTACACACAGTGTGTCACCCTACACACATTGTGTTACCCTACACACATTGTGTTAACCTACACACATTGTGTTAACCTACACACAGTGTGTCACCCTACACACATTGTGTTACCCTACACACATTGTGTTAACCTACACACATTGTGTCGCCCTACACACATTGTGTCGCCCTACACACATTGTGTCACCCTACACACATTGTGTTACCCTACACACATTGTGTTAACCTACACACATTGTGTCACCCTACACACATTGTGTCACCCTACACACATTGTGTTAACCTACACACATTGTGTTAACCTACACACATTGTGTCACCCTACACACATTGTGTTAACCTACACACATTGTGTCACCCTACACACATTGTGTCACCCTACACACATTGTGTTAACCTACACACATTGTGTTAACCTACACACATTGTGTCACCCTACACACATTGTGTTAACCTACACACATTGTGTTAACCTACACACATTGTGTCACCCTACACACATTGTGTCGCCCTACACACATTTGTGTCACCCTTACACACATTGTGTTAACCTACACCCCATTGTGTTAACCTACACACATTGTGTTAACCTACACACATTGTGTCACCCTACACACATTGTGTCACCCTACACACATTGTGTCACCCTACACACATTGTGTTAACCTACACACATTGTGTCACCCTACCCCACATTGTGTTAACCTACACAGATTGTGTCACCCTACACACATTGTGTTAACCTACACACATTGTGTTAACCTACACACATTGTGTCACCCTACACACATTGTGTTAACCTACACACATTGTGTCACCCTACACACATTGTGTCACCCTACACACATTGTGTTAACCTACACACATTGTGTTAACCTACACACATTGTGTCACCCTACACACATTGTGTTAACCTACACACATTGTGTTAACCTACACACATTGTGTCACCCTACACACATTGTGTCGCCCTACACACATTGTGTCACCCTACACACATTGTGTTAACCTACACACATTGTGTTAACCTACACACATTGTGTTAACCTACACACATTGTGTTAACCTACACACATTGTGTCACCCTACACACATTGTGTTAACCTACACACATTGTGTCACCCTACACACATTGTGTTAACCTACACACATTGTGTTAACCTACACACATTGTGTCACCCTACACACATTGTGTCGCCCTACACACATTGTGTCACCCTACACACATTGTGTCACCCTACACACATTGTGTTAACCTACACACATTGTGTTAACCTACACACATTGTGTTAACCTACACACATTGTGTCACCCTACACACATTGTGTTAACCTACACACATTGTGTCACCCTACACACATTGTGTTAACCTACACACATTGTGTTAACCTACACACATTGTGTCACCCTACACACATTGTGTCACCCTACACACATTGTGTCGCCCTACACACATTGTGTCGCCCTACACACATTGTGTCACCCTACACACATTGTGTCACCCTACACACATTGTGTCGCCCTACACACATTGTGTCGCCCTACACACATTGTGTCGCCCTACACACATTGTGTCGCCCTACACACATTGTGTCGCCCTACACACATTGTGTCACCCTACACACATTGTGTCACCCTACACACATTGTGTCGCCCTACACACATTGTGTCGCCCTACACACATTGTGTTAACCTACACACATTGTGTTAACCTACACACATTGTGTCGCCCTACACACATTGTGTCACCCTACACACATTGTGTCACCCTACACACATTGTGTCGCCCTACACACATTGTGTCGCCCTACACACATTGTGTTAACCTACACACATTGTGTTAACCTACACACATTGTGTCGCCCTACACACATTGTGTCACCCTACACACATTGTGTCGCCCTACACACATTGTGTCACCCTACACACATTGTGTCGCCCTACACACATTGTGTTAACCTACACACATTGTGTCGCCCTACACACATTGTGTTACCCTACACACATTGTGTTACCCTACACACATTGTGTCACCCTACACACATTGTGTTAACCTACACACATTGTGTTAACCTACACACATTGTGTTAACCTACACACATTGTGTTAACCTACACACATTGTGTCACCCTACACACATTGTGTTAACCTACACACATTGTGTTAACCTACACACATTGTGTTAACCTACACACGTTGTGTCACCCTACACACAGTGTGTCACCCTACACACATTGTGTCACCCTACACACATTGTGTTACCCTACACACATTGTGTTACCCTACACACATTGTGTCACCCTACACACATTGTGTTAACCTACACACATTGTGTTAACCTACACACATTGTGTTAACCTACACACATTGTGTTAACCTACACACATTGTGTCACCCTACACACATTGTGTTAACCTACACACATTGTGTTAACCTACACACATTGTGTTAACCTACACACGTTGTGTCACCCTACACACATTGTGTCACCCTACACACATTGTGTCACCCTACAGACATTGTGTCGCCCTACACACATTGTGTCACCCTACACACATTGTGTCGCCCTACACACATTGTGTCACCCTACACACATTGTGTCACCCTACACACAGTGTGTCACCCTACACACAGTGTGTCACCCTACACAAATTGTGTCACCCTACACACAGTGTGTCACCCTACACACATTGTGTCACCCTACACACATTGTGTCACCCTACACACATTGTGTTAACCTACACACAGTGTGTCACCCTACACACATTGTGTCACCCTACACACATTGTGTCACCCTACACACATTGTGTCACCCTACACACATTGTGTTAACCTACACACAGTGTGTCACCCTACACAAATTGTGTCACCCTACACACAGTGTGTCACCCTACACACAGTGTGTCACCCTACACAAATTGTGTCACCCTACACACAGTGTGTCACCCTACACACAGTGTCACAACACCTGCAGCAACACTCATCACTCATCACCTTACACACAAACACCTTCACTTGCATCAGAGGTCACAAACACGTTAAATATTTATGAGTGCCAAGGTAACGAGGGACGGGGAGTGCCTGCAGTGCCAGATGCTGCAGCAATGCCGGACGCTGCTGCAGTGCCGGCTCTACGAGGCACTGTGATAGGAGGGCCGCGTGAGTGCTACGTATGGACCGGGGTGAGGTAGAGTGCCTTGTGCTACTGGGTGCGCCTCCGACGCGCTACTGGTGGTGCCACACATCCTGGCCCTGCTAGGCATCAGTGCCAGCCGCGCCGGGGACATGCGTCGCTCCGCCATCACCCCCAGCTGGACCGGCGTCACCCCCAACTGGACCAGCGTCACCCCCAACTGGATAGGCGTCACCCCTAACTGGACCGGCGTCACCCCAGCTAGACCGACGTCACCCCAGCTAGACCGACGTCATCCCAACTTGATCGGCATCACCCACAATTGGACCGGCGTCACCCGAACTGCACCAGCATTATTCATCTTGGCCCGTTTTATCACCCAGTTGGTCCACCATTATTAGTATTGTTATTATTATTATTATTATTATTATTATTATTATTATTATTATTATTATTATTATTATTATTATTATTATTATTATTATTATTATTATTATATGTATAAAACGCCAAATATTGATAAACCATTCAGTGCTTCACTGGGGGAAATCTAACTACCGTAAATAACTGAGGACGCAAAAAATACTTACCATACCTTTTAGTTGTGAAGGAAGTCAGTTACAGCACTGTTAAGGACGGTCAGTTAACCTTGAAGTGCCTTTAACTGTGATGAGTTACGTACAAAAAGCGTATTTTTGTGATAGGTTGTGTACAGGATGCCTGGGTGTGGGTGGGTGTGTACCACGCACCGGACAGCCCCTACATTATACACAGCATCTTCGTGTAGCTTCGGCTGGAGAATCATTTGGGATGGGAAAAATGTGTATAATATACCTACCCTTAACTGTCTGGATCAATGTTGCAAAGGTAACAAGTTGTTGATCTACTACACGAGTGTACAGTCTTGTGGCTTCGAGTGTCGTTGCTCCTCAGTAGTGTTGGAGGCAGACAGAGGTTGATCAGTGGGACTTTAATGGGGACAAAGTTACGCTCTACCTAAAGCCCTAATAGAGCAAAATGTTGTCTCGTTTAGAGCTTACTCTGCAGAGTGTGTTGTGTTTTTTCACTGGAGTTCCTCGAAGCAGATTTATGTGTCACAAGGTACATTATGGCAAAAACGCTTGAAGTGTGTGTTGAAGACGAGATGTTTACTCCGTAGTGTGACCCTCAACACTACTGTGTGCTGGGTAGGTATAAGGTTTGTCAGGAAACAGGACAAGTGTTTCCTGACGAGGGTCTCAGTAACATGATGACCCACAGCTGAAGTTTTTGGTTAGCTGATCGAGGCCTTCCACTGGCTTACCTCTCTACCCCTTTAAAAATCATAACCATTAGAAGTTACAGCTACATAACTAATTATTGACTTATATATATATATATATATATATATATATATATATATATATATATATATATATATATATATATAATATATATATATATATATATATATATATATATATATATATATATGTCGTGCCGAATATGTAAAACTGGTCAATTAGCAAGAACTCATTTAAAATTAAGTCCTTTCTAAAATTTTCTCTTATACGTTTAAAGATAATTTTTTTCATTAATATTAATGTAAAAATTTTTAAATTTGCACCAAAAGAATCTTAGAAAACTTACCTAACCTTATTATAACAAGTGCAATTTATTTTAGCCTAACCCAACTAAATATATTTTAGATTTGTTTACAATAATTTAATACTAAACAAACTCAGTGAAATATATTTTTTTTCGTTAGGTTCAGAATGATTTTGGCGAAATCATTGCATACACAAATTTTCGCTTGTCCTATATGGCAAGATGAGCGTTGCTATTTAAGCCAAGATCGCAAGTTCTGCCTATTCGGCACGACATATAAATATATATATATATATATATATATATAATATATATATATATATATATATATATATATATATATATATAATATATATATGTATATATGTATATATATATATATATATATATATATATATATATATATAATAGGTGGACTGGTAAACCAGTGGCAAGCTTTTAAACTGAGCAGTTCTGAGCGTGGTACTGAGCCTTCAAGCATGACAAGCCATGACATGTGTGTGGGAATGAGAAGTACTCACGCTGTGCTGACAACCCTTCGTTCTTGACATAGAAGGGACCCATCCTGTAGATGATCTCGTGGACGATGATAGCGAAGGAATACACGTCGGCCTTCTGCGTGCCTTCCTCAGGAGGGTTGGCATTCCGAAGTATTTCCGGGGCGGTCCACAATTTCCCTGCGTAGACACAGAATTGAGTTACTTTTTTCCAATTTCTTTGCCACCCATTTCAGTGGATCATCATATTTACAGAGAAAATTTTCATTACATAATTGATTATATAATAATTATTTAGTTGATAATTCCGCCGCCAACGGGAAAAAATTATTCAACGCAAATCTTTTATTAATTTACAGGTTTAACATGTTTTTTTAACAAAGTTAAACTACTGGCCTGTGACCGTAAGTATTGACCCAGCAGTGATATTACGGTCATAGATATTACTAAACTGACAAGGAAGCTTTAAATCCTTGACGAATTTAAATCCGTAAAGGATTTAAATCCATAAAAGATTTAAAGCTCCCTTGTGATAAAGAAATCGGTCAAAATTAACTCCGAGGTAAGAATATTATATTCAGCCAATTTTATGGCCAAGTATTGAGTTTTCCACAATAAAGAGAGTATTATTTTATTCTTCCCTTACTACTGTTATCCACGTTTCTCTTCTCTCAGCTCAAAGATCATAGATTATTTTTTCACTAGTTTGAAACCACGAGATTTAATTATTATCTCTAAGATGGTTTAAAAATTTGATATCTTCGAACGTGAAGTTTTCCCTTGTTCAAATATAATCTGTCGGCTATAAATACCGGGATAAAACTTGCGTTTAATATAAACTTAAGGAAAGAATATGTAAAATAAACTCTTGCAAAACTTGTATCGAATCCAGCTCTACCAGTCATTCTCTCGTATTTATTTATGTCTTTCTATATTCCTCTTTATTCTTCTCACCTTTATCCACCTCGTAGGCAGAGTTCAAATATATATCAATATCTCTCTGTATCCTTCCTTTCTCACTCATTTATCCACAACTCTCTGTCATCCTTGTGGCTCCTACTCACGTTTCCAGTAGACGTAATCTTCTTGCGAGTAGACTCTCTCTCTGAGGTTGTGGAGTCCGAAGTCAGTCAACTTGAGGACGAAGCGAGAGTCTACCACACAGTTGCTGGACTTGAGATTGCCGTGAGTTCTCAGCTCGCTCGAGTGCAGGAAAGCCATTCCCTGAACAAGAGTGGTATAGTTAAGTGTGGCTGAGGATCCTACCTGACTGTACAACAGTGGTATAATTTAGTGTGGCTGAGGATTCTATCTGACCGAACAACAGTGGTACACTTTAGTGTGGCTGAGGATCATATCTGACCGAACAACAGTGGTACAGTTTAGTGTGACTGAAGATCCTACCTGACCGAACAACAGTGGTACACTTTAGTGTGGCTGAGGATCCAATATGACCGAACAACAGTGGTACAGTTTAGTGTGGCTGAGGATTCTACCTGACCGAACAACAGTGGTACAGTTTAGTGTGGCTGAAGATCCTACCTGACCGAACAACAGTGGTACACTTTAGTGTGGCTGAGGATCCAATATGACCGAACAACAGTGGTACAGTTTAGTGTGGCTGAGGATTCTACCTGACCGAACAACAGTGGTACACTTTAGTGTGGCTGAGGATCCTACCTGACTGTACACGGGTCATCAAGGCCGCAGCATCACCTGTGTACTAACATCAACGATACGTTGCTAACGATACAGTTCACAGCATCACTTACGATAGTATTGCCATAAAATTTTGCGGTTAACGGTATAAAGTACACTGCAGTGCATTACCATAGTTGCAGTTGTTGTATTCAGTACATACATGGTACACAACTAGGAGTTTTTGATAGTACACACACACACACACACACACACACACACACACACACACACACACACACACACACACACACACACACACGACGCACCTTAACAATGTCATGCATAAGTGACATCTTAAACATGGAGTCGAGTTTCACATCTTCGTTTTCCAGCAGGTCCTGGAGGGAACCCTTAGGGCAGTACTCAGTGAAGACGGCGCAGTAGGGCTTGTTGTCGACACACACCCCGATGAACCTGACCAAGTGCTCGTACTGGAGGTCCTTCATCTGCTCCAGCAATCCGACAGCATCCGCGAACGTCAACACGGATTCGGATGCGTCCGGATGCCCATACATCGTGGGTTATGGAGGCGGGGAAGGATCGAAGAATAAATTTTTAATTAACTAAACAATGACGAGGTTAAAATAGTTTTTTCTTAGTGATACCTTTCTAGCATCGACACTAGCTGATTAATTAGACAATGTTCCACATATATACTGAGAGGGTGGAAGTGTGTGTGTGTGTGTGTGTGTGTGTGTGTACTCACCTAGTTCTCACCTAGTTGAGATTGCAGGGGTCGAGTCCAAGCTCCTGGCCCCGCCTCTTCACTGATCGCCACTAGGTCACTCTCCCTGAACCGTGAGCTTTATCATACCTCTGCTTAAAGCTATGTATGGATCCTGACTCCACTACATCGCTTCCCAAACTATTCCACTTACTAACTACTCTGTGGCTGAAGAAATACTTCCTAACATCCCTGTGATTCATCTGAGTCTTCAACTTCCAACTGTGTCCCCTTGTTACTGTGTCCAATCTCTGGAACATCCTGTCTTTGTCCACCTTGTCAATTCCTCTTCGTATTTTGTATATCGTTATGATGTCCCGCCTATCTCTCCTGTGTATATAACAAAAAGGCACAATACCGTGACTGGAACGATACACAAATAACCCGCACATAAAAGAGAGAAGCTTACGACGACGTTTCGGTCCGACTTGGACCATTGACAAAGTCACAGTGTGACTTTGTCAATGGTCCAAGTCGGACCGAAACGTCGTCGTAAGCTTCTCTCTTTTATGTGCGGGTTATTTGTGTATCTCTCCTGTGTGTGTGTGTGTGCGTGTGTGTGTGTGTGTGTGTGTGTGTGTGTGTGTGTGTGTGTGTGTGTGTGTGTGTGTGGAGGGATACTCACTCGCTTGAGTTGTATAAGCATGGGTCTGGCCAGGTCCACACGGTCTTTGTGAATCTTCTTAATAGCCACAGTCACACCCTGTGGAAGATAGTGGTTACACCTGTGTGAATTGTGACCCTGCACACACTACCGTGACCCCACACACACTACCGTGACCCCACACACACTACCGTGACACCGCACATACTACCGTGACACCACACACACTACCGTGATCCCACACACACTACCGTGACCCCACACACACTACCGTGACCCCACACACACTACCGTGACACGCACATACTACCGTGACACCACACACACTACCGTGATCCCACACACACTACCGTGACCCCACACACACTACCGTGACCCCACACACACTACCGTGACCCCACACACACTACCGTGACACCGCACATACTACCGTGACCCCACACACACTACCGTGACCCCACACACACTACCGTGACCCCACACACACTAACCCTGACCCCACACACACTACCGTGACCCCACACACACTACCGTGACCCCACACACACTACCGTGACACCACACACACTACCGTGATCCCACACACACTACCGTGACACCACACATACTACCGTGACACCACACACACTACCGTGACCCCACACATACTACCGTGACCCACACACACTACCGTGACCCCACACACACTACCGTGACCCCACACACACTACCGTGACCCCACACACACTACCGTGACCCCACACACACACACCGTGACCCTGCACACACTACCGTGACCCCACACACACTACCGTGACCCCACACACACTACCGTGACCCCACACACACTACCGTGACCCCACACACACTACCGTGACACCGCACATACTACCGTGACACCACACACACTACCGTGACCCCACACATACTACCGTGACCCCACACACACTACCGTGATCCCACACACACTACCGTGACACCACACATACTACCGTGACACCACACACACTACCGTGACCCCACACACACTACCGTGACACCACACACACTACCGTGACCCAACACACACTACCGTGACCCCACACACACTACCGTGACCCCACACACACTACCGTGACCCCACACACACTACCGTGACCCCACACACACTACCGTGACCCCACACACACTACCGTGACCCTGCACACACTACCGTGACCCCACACACACTACCGTGACCCCACACACACTACCGTGACCCCACACACACTACCGTGACCCCACACACACTACCGTGACACCGCACATACTACCGTGACACCACACACACTACCGTGACCCCACACATACTACCGTGACCCCACACACACTACCGTGATCCCACACACACTACCGTGACACCACACATACTACCGTGACACCACACACACTACCGTGACCCCACACATACTACCGTGACCCCACACACACTACCGTGATCCCACACACACTACCGTGACCCTGCACACACTACCGTGACCCTGCACACACTACCGTGACCCTGCACACACTAACGTGACCCCACACACACTACCGTGACACCACACACACTACCGTGACCCCACACACACTACCGTGACCCCACACACACTACCGTGACCCCACACATACTACCGTGACCCCACACACACTACCGTGATCCCACACACACTACCGTGACACCACACACACTACCGTGACCCCACACACACTACCGTGACCCCAACACACACTACCGTGACACCACACACACTACCGTGACCACACATACACTACCGTGACACCACACACACTACGGTGACCACACACACACTACCGTGACTCAGGATATGAGGATATGAGGTTCTGAAGCTTCGTTATTAACCAGGATGTGAGGTTCTGAAGCTTCGTTATTAATCAGGATAAGAGGTTCTGAAGCTTCATTATTAATCAGGATATGAGGTTCTGAAGCTTCGTTATTAATCAGGATGTGAGGTTCTGAAGCTTCGTTATTAATGAAGGATATGAGGTTCTGAAGCTTCGTTATTAACCAGGATGTGAGGTTCTGAAGCTTCGTTATTAATCAGGATGTGAGGTTCTGAAGCTTCGTTATTAATCAGGATGTGAGGTTCCGAAGCTTCGATATTAATCAAGATATGAGATTCTGAAGCTTCGTTATTAATCAGGATATGATGTTCTGAAGCTTCGTTATTAACCAGGATGTGAGGTTCTGAAGCTTCGTTATTAATCAGGATATGAGGTTCTGAAGCTTCGTTATTAACCAGGATGTGAGGTTCTGAAGCTTCGTTATTAATCAGGATACGAGGTTCTGAAGCTTCGTTATTAATCAGGATGTGAGGTTCTGAAGCTTCGTTATTAATCAGGATGTGAGATTCTGAAGCTTCGTTATTAATCAGGATGTGAGGTTCTGAAGCTTCGTTATTAATCAGGATGTGAGGTTCTGAAGCTTCGTTATTAATCAGGATGTGAGGTTCTGAAGCTTCGTTATTAATCAGGATGTGAGGTTCTGAAGCTTAGATATTAATCAGGATGTGAGGTTCTGAAGCTTCGTTATTAATCAGGATATGAGGTTCTGAAGCTTCGTTATTAATCAGGATATGAGGTTCTGAAGCTTCGTTATTAATCAGGATATGAGGTTCTGAAGCTTCGTTATTAATCAGGATGTGAGGTTCTGAAGCTTCGTTATTAATCAGGATATGAGGTTCTGAAGCTTCGTTATTAATCAGGATATGAGGTTCTGAAGCTTCGGTATTAATCAGGGTATGAGGTTCTGAAGCTTCGTTATTAATCAGGATGTGAGGTTGTGAAGCTTCGTTATTAATCAGGATGTGAGGTTCTGAAGCTTCGTTATTAATAAGGATGTGAGGTTCTGAAGCTTCGTTATTAATCAGGATGTGAGGTTTTGAAGCTTCGTTATTAATCAGGATGTGAGGTTCTGAAGCTTCGTTATTAATCAGGATATGAGATTCTGAAGCTTCGTTATTAATCAGGATATGAGGTTCTGAAGCTTCGTTATTAATCAGGATGTGAGGTTCTGAAGCTTCGTTATTAATCAGGATATGAGGTTCTGAAGCTTCGTTATTAATCAGGATATGAGGTTCTGAAGCTTCGTTATTAATCAGGATATGAGGTTTTGAAGCTTCGTTATTAATCAGGATGTGAGGTTCTGAAGCTTCGTTATTAATCAGGATGTGAGGTTCTGAAGCTTCGTTATTAATCAGGATGTGAGGTTCAGAAGCTTCGTTATTAATCAGGATATGAGGTTCTGAAGCTTCGTTATTAATCAGGATATGAGGTTCTGAAGCTTCGTTATTAATCAGGATGTGAGGTTCTGAAGCTTCGTTATTAATGAAGGATATGAGGTTCTGAAGCTTCGTTATTAACCAGGATGTGAGGTTCTGAAGCTTCGTTATTAATCAGGATATGAGGTTCTGAAGCTTCGTTATTAATCAGGATGTGAGGTTCTGAAGCTTCGTTATTAATCAGGATGTGAGGTTCTGAAGCTTCGTTATTAATCAGGATATGAGGTTCTGAAGCTTCGTTATTAATCAGGATGTGTGGATCTGAAGCTTCGTTATTAATCAGGATATGAGGTTCTGAAGCTTCGTTATTAACCAGGATGTGAGGTTCTGAAGCTTCGTTATTAATCACGATATGAGGTTCTGAAGCTTCGTTATTAATCAGGATGTGAGGTTCTGAAGCTTCGTTATTAATCAGGATGTGAGGTTCTGAAGCTTCGTTATTAATCAGGATGTGAGGTTCTGAAGCTTCGTTATTAATCAGGATGTGAGGTTCTGAAGCTTCGTTATTAATCAGGATGTGAGGTTCTGAAGCTTCGTTATTAATCAGGATGTGAGGTTCTGAAGCTTAGTTATTAATCAGGATGTGAGGTTCTGAAGCTTCGTTATTAATCAGGATATGAGGTTCTGAAGCTTCGTTATTAATCAGGATATGAGGTTCTGAAGCTTCGTTATTAATCAGGATATGAGGTTCTGAAGCTTCGTTATTAATCAGGATGTGAGGTTCTGAAGCTTCGTTATTAATTAGGATATGAGGTTCTGAAGCTTCGTTATTAATCAGGATATGAGGTTCTGAAGCTTCGTTATTAATCAGGATATGAGGTTCTGAAGCTTCGTTATTAATCAGGATGTGAGGTTGTGAAGCTTCGTTATTAATCAGGATGTGAGGTTCTGAAGCTTCGTTATTAATCAGGATGTGAGGTTCTGAAGCTTCGTTATTAATCAGGATGTGAGGTTTTGTAGCTTCGTTATTAATCAGGATGTGAGGTTCTGAAGCTTCGTTATTAATCAGGATATGAGATTCTGAAGCTTCTTTATTAATCAGGATATGAGGTTCTGAAGCTTCGTTATTAATTAGGATGTGAGGTTCTGAAGCTTCGTTATTAATCAGGATATGAGGTTCTGAAGCTTCGTTATTAATCAGGATATGAGGTTCTGAAGCTTCGTTATTAATCAGGATATGAGGTTCTGAAGTTTCGTTATTAATCAGGATGTGAGGTTCTGAAGCTTCGTTATTAATCAGGATGTGAGGTTCTGAAGCTTCGTTATTAATCAGGATGTGAGGTTCTGAAGCTTCGTTATTAATCAGGATATGAGGTTCTGAAGCTTCGTTATTAATCAGGATATGAGGTTCTGAAGCTTCGTTATTAATCAGGATGTGAGGTTCTGAAGCTTCGTTATTAATCAGGATGTGAGGTTCTGAAGCTTCGTTATTAATCAGGATGTGAGGTTCTGAAGCTTCGTTATTAATCAGGATATGAGGTTCTGAAGGTTCGTTATTAACCAGGATGTGAGGTTCTGAAGCTTCGTTATTAATCAGGATGTGAGGTTCTGAAACTTCGTTATTAATCAGGATATGAGGTTCTGAAGCTTCGTTATTAATCAGGATGTGAGGTTCTGAAGCTTCGTTATTAATCAGGATATGAGGTTCTGAAGCATCGTTATTAACCAGGATGTGAGGTTCTGAAGCTTCGTTATTAATCAGGATTTGAGGTTCTGAAGCTTCGTTATTAATCAGGATGTGAGGTTCCGAAGCTTCGATATTAATCAATATGTGAGGTTCTGAAGCTTCGTTATTAATCAGGATATGAGGTTCTGAAGCTTTGTTATTAATCAGGATGTGAGGTTCTGAAGCTTCGTTATTAATCAGGATATGAGGTTCTGAAGCTTCGTTATTAATCAGGATGTGAGGTTCTGAAGCTTCGTTATTAATCAGGATGTGAGGTTCTGAAGC